CCGATTTGAGCTCAAGTTGGATGAGTTACGCGTAGTAAATCGTAGGTATTATAAGGCTAGTAAATGACGAATTTCCCTTGTTTATTGATGTCACACTCCTCCCTATTATCTACTCCTGGTATGTATGCATAGGTATAGCGCCCTTAATTAATTCACCCTTAATTCGCTGCTAGAGTCAACATGGCGCCTGTGGCATTCAAGTACGTGACCAATCGTCTTCCTAACCTGTTTATATATATATGCCTTGCCAAGATTCGTGTGTTGACAGTATCGTAAGTACGCGGCGTTGTGCTTTACGTTTGAAGCTATATATCGATTTTAGTTCAATAAAGTGTAGTTTATTGATGGAAGAACAGTGATTTTCATCAGTGAGGCGGTGTTTTGGACAAATTTCTGTGTGGCAAGCTGAGAATTTGAGCGAGGCGGCCCGCCTCGCTCGTGTCAATGCAGGGGAAACACTGGTGTTATGATACTTATGCTATTTCTTACTCCAACAAGACAAAAATATCTATTGACATAGGTCATTATCGCAATAAATTATTTCCCTATTGATTGCACTTGAGAATGTGTTCTTGTTAATGTATCAAGCGTGTAGTTTCGGAGGTCTATATTGTAGTCCGATTTTGTTGTGAGTGTTTGCTATATATATAGATTACATTGTTTTGTTACGTAGACAACAGCCCCTTGAGATGGGAGAAACAGAGTATGTCTTTGTCACTGGCGGGGCAGGATACATCGGTAGCCACACGGTTCTGGAGCTACTAAACAAGGGTTACCAGCCTGTAGTCATGGACAACTTCTCAAATTCCTGTAAAGGTATGTAATCGTAAATGTTGTTGTAAAATTTGATTATGTTGATTAAAAATTTGTGGGGATTTTTCTGTCATTCGTGTACGTTAGGGTGCATGTATAGATATGTATGCAGCTAGGTAGTATCCGCCATGGTTCGGAGGTGATACTATCATCATGTTGGGTGCAGGCTGTGATAGTGCTTCCCAACGTGGCATTCCAGAGAGTTTGGTACGGGTTGAACAGCTGACAGGAAAGGAGATAATCTTCTTCAAAGCTGACATATTAGACAAGTCTGCTCTCAGAAAAGTGTTCAGTAAGGTACTGTTGAATTTTGATTCCAATTAGGCACTTTCGTTTGAGTTTTAGCATTCACTTTGCAAGTTACTTCAAATGTTCTTCTGATAACAGGTGTAAACTTTCCTCTAGAATTTGAGAGTATGTTATGATAGTAGATTTATAAATAATAGCACATATCTATAAATATCTACAATTCCGCATTCACATTTGTCATAAAACAACATTGAATTTCGAAATTGTTATTTTTGGGCGCTGACATGACACCCGCGACTGTGCTGCCACCCTGAAAAAGTTGCACATTTGCCTATTTATTTTGCACGTTACAGACCGAGGTCTAATAACAAAAGTGCAATTATATTTGTACCTAAATGCTATTTAACCGAACGATATTCATTTTAGGACAAATTTATCCATATTATAACTGAAACTGTATGTCGTTTGTAAGATATTGCAATTATTCTGCTCTTAAATTAATAAATGAGAAACACCCTCGGTCTGTAGCCTGGAGCCGAAACGTTGCTTTGCGCAACTTTTCAGTGGGTGCGCTGCCAGTGGCGCCACCGTCGTTGTAAGCAACAGTATAGCCGTCAGTTTTAAAACGTTAAAAAAAAATATTCCTAATAAATATTGAACCATAAAACTTTTTATGAAGCGTAATTTTAACCTATCTTAGCTGAAAATAGCTGAAGAACCTAGCGAAATAGTTTGTTTTTTGGTTTGTGTGTCAAATATTTCGTATTTGGTATATTTCACATTATTATTATACAATACAGTTTGTTGTGAGTTATTTCAATAAGATTTATTGCATGAATGCTATCTACTTAACTTATATGTGTGACTCTAGCTGTGTTCGTGTGTGAAAGTACATGTTAAAAACTAATATTGATTTAATTCTTGGCTTGTTTGCTCTAAGTTTCGAATACAAACATTGACTCAAGTGGTAACCCTTGTGAAGTCACATAGCACCTACTTTTACTAGCCTGCACACGTTTCAACCACATGTACAGTGTGTATTGAATTAATGCCATTTTCCCCTGTGTTTGTTAATTCCATCTGCCATTTTCGTTGCAGTACAACTTTCTTTGCGTGATTCACTTTGCGGGACTGAAGGCTGTAGGGGAATCCAGTACGATACCTATGTCCTACTATAGAGTCAACGTGGGAGGAACCATCAATCTAGTCGAGGTAAACTCTCCATGAGCAGACGATGATCAACTTACCTGTCTCCTGTAAAAAACTCATCGTTACCTTAGAAAAGATCTCACCTCCGATGCACCTTTCTGTTATCAAGAAGATATGGATAGTATACCTAAATGAAGTCGTAGCACGTTGAACAATGATTAACAGTTGTGTTTTTCCGGCGCATTTTGTGTTAAACAATGACTAACAACAGTCGGGTTTTGCTGTCGCGTTTGGTGTTGAACAATGACTAACAACAGTCGGGTTTTGCTGTCGCGTTTGGTGTTGAACAATGACTAACAGTCGTGTTTTGCTGCCGTGTTTGGTGTTAAATAATCACCAACAGTCGTGTTTTGCCAACGTGTTTAGTGTTAAAGGCATACTAGGCCCATTGATTATGCAATGTTGACGAATGCTAGAGTAACTGGCACCTTGTGTAGTTAATAAGTACATAACCTTGTAGCCAAACGCGTATTAGTTTGTCCAATATCACCGCTGGTTACATTACAAGCAAGACTTGAAATCGGTTGTTGATATTCATTTATGATTATTTCATGCCGTAAATGTCATCCAGGAGTCAAGCGATAACGTAAACATTTGTGCGGCCGGTATGTTTTGGAAATGCTGGTTGTATTATGTCTCTGACGTCATCAGTGATGTCAACCGTGGCTCACTACACGTGTACGCGGTCAATCAAAACGTTCTGAAAGTTCACATGTATTGTTATATGGAGAAATGAGTATGTACAGAGGTGGCACATAGTGTTAGCCATCGAATAAAGTTGAAAAGGAAAAATCGGTAAATTTTTGCCTAAAACCTTGAGAGTAACCTTAAACAATGACTAACAGTCGTGTTTTGTCGGTGTGCTTGCCGCCGCGCAGGTCATGAAGGAGTTTGGAGTTCACAATCTGGTGTTCTCGAGCTCTGCGACGGTTTATGGAGAACCCCAGTACCTGCCTCTGGACGAATGCCACGCGGTGGGATCTTGCACGAACCCGTATGGCAAGACCAAGTACTTCATCGAAGAGATCCTTAAAGATCTACATCATGCGGAACCGGTAAATGCTAGCTGGTTGCCGCGTACGGAGGCCTTGACAACCGCTTCTGATGTCTAGTCGACATAGCTGGTGCCAATAATTTAACCACTCCGTGCACGATCTTATAGTCCCGAGTCAGGCCCTAGGATTGACGAGATAGGTAGCCATATGAAAAGAGCATGTGTATATGTCACGTGTAGCCACCAAATTTAACCCTTGCTGTGTTTCAGACCTAATAGATCACAGCAATAGTTTAATAGTTTAGTGAAACCCTTGCAGCGGTCCAACATCGAATAATATATCGATATATAATATAATATAGTATAATATAATATATGTATATATATATATATATATATATATAATATATAACATAAGCAGGGAATTTTCCTTACAGAACTGGAACGTCTTCTTGCTGCGCTACTTCAATCCCGTCGGGTCTCACGCGTCTGGTCGCATCGGAGAAGACCCGCTTGATGCCCCCAACAACCTGATGCCCTACGTCTCGCAGGTCGCCATCGGGCGGCGCCCCCTGCTGAGCGTTTTCGGCGACGACTACCCGACAACAGACGGAACAGGTGAGCGTAGCTGCGGCCTCGTGTCGCGGGGTTCCCCGGCCGATTGTTTCTCGTTTGTGTTAATTGTTGGTGCGTTATGTCTCGCGTGGGTCGGTGTGAAGGTGATGTATGCAGGCTTGACGAGACTGGGAAGGATTAATAACTATATATATATACTAGCGAGATACCCGGCGTTGCTTGGGGAAATCAGTGGCGTTAGTCAGTTGGTGACCGCTTGGTTGAAAGGAAAATACCCAAAAAAATCCTACTATCTCTCTATCCATGCATCCATCCTTGCATCCATCCATTCATCGCATTCCATGCCATCCCATCCCATAGCACCGCATCCCATCCCATTCCATCCCATTCCATCCCATATCCCATCCCATCCTATTGCATGCCATCTCATCGCATCCCAGGCCATGCCATGCCATGCTATCCCATCCCATCCCATCCCATCCCATCCCATCCCATCCCATCCCATCCCATCCCATCCCATCCCATCCCATCCCATCCCATCCCACTGTATCCCATCCCATCCTATCCCATGCCATGGCATGCCATCCAATCCCATCGCATGCCATCCCATCCCATCCCAACAGTAAAAAATAATAAGAAATCAAAAGATAAAAGTCATTAAAATAAAAAAGTCAAAAATTATAAATAATAAAATGAAATTGTATAATTTTTATTAATTTTTAACTTTTTAACTTTTTTGAAATTTTTGAGTTTTAGCCAGAACCACCTCCCCCAGACGTGCTGATTCTGAAAATATATTTAGTTTTTCACTAGGCTGCGAAGTTCTCTAGTTATGCGCGAACACACAAATTCGGCTGAACAACTTTATATATATATCGATATTTATATATATAGTTAATTCTTATCTATATATGAATAAGGTGTCAAATTTTAATCAGCCAGCTTTTAGAGTGTATCTATCTTCATCAGGCTATACAATATATCTTGTATAGCCTGATGAGGAGAGATACTCTCAAAAGCTTGCTGATTAAAATTTGACACCTTATTCTATTTTTCTACATTTATATTCACATCTACATGTGTGTCTGTGTGTTTTTACTTCTCTCTCTATATATATATGCGAAATATTATGAATATTAATATGTATTGTGAAGCCTGAGGAAGAGACATATGTTCTTGAAAGCTCACAAAATAAAAAATGGACACCTCATTCTATATATATATATATCCTACATTATATAAAAAAAAGGCATTAGTATGGGCAGTGTACAAGTGCAGTGTCTGTGTTGACCAGTTTTTATATTTTATGCAGATGTTGTCCTGTGACATTGAGGTGGTTCTTGTAAAAAATGCCACACATGCTTGCTGAGTGCAACTCACTTGGAACGTGCGTGATCACAAAGCATTGTGTGTTGCAGGAGTGAGGGATTACATCCACGTAGTTGACTTGGCAGTTGGGCATGTGGCTTGTTTGAAAAAATTGCACGACAACCCAGGACTGAAGGTAGGACTGTATTATCTGGCCATTATATAAGTCTAGTTGCACCACAGTGGCGCTAATCAGGTAATGTCATTGATGTGTACTCTAACATTGTTTCCCGTTGTATCTGTATGTATGAAATAATAAATATATATATATATATATATATACGAGCACAATGTGTCCGTCTATTATGAGACCTAATGCATGAACAGCATAGGTCCTAACTCACCATCACTAATATTTTGTGTATTTCGTATAGATATACAATCTTGGTACTGGGCAAGGCTACTCTGTTCTAGAGATGGTAAAAGCCTTTGAGGCAGCATCGGGCCAAAAGGTATAATGGCTAGTGTATGTGATATTTAACATAAATTGTGGGTATGTGAATTTTATGATATGTACATTGTTTACTTGTGCACAAAAGCTTACATGTGATAGAATCCACCTTGTTAGAGTCCTGAGGATCCAATTGAGTTATCCTCTTTAACAATAAAAACTGTAAAGACATTTATAGCTAAAGATTTCTTTCTACATGACTATCTGCTTCTTTAAGTTACTGTTTATCATAGACTTTCTATATGAAGTATCAGAGTATTTCATATTTTTATTTGTCCGAAAAATATGAAGTCGCTACCTTCCTTCAAGATACTTTTATCCCAGATGTAGTTAGTTTTCACTTAAACTATGTGAAAATGTGCAACAATACATAAATGTTTTCTTGTAGGTACCTTATAAGGTTGTTGGCAGGCGATCAGGAGACGTGGCATCAGTTTACGCCGCCACCACACTAGCTTACGAGGAACTAGGATGGAAAGCAGAACGAGGGCTGGCTGAGATGTGTAAGTCTTGAAACATGTCTCTGAACTGAATGTTGCACTGCTAGAGTTATTGCACTTTATACATAGCGAGCTGATTGCTGCAATTTTTATTGCCTTAATGAGCCTGCCATAATTAATTGTGAACATTTTTTTTTCGCTGAGCCCCAGCACCCAATACAGAGCACCATAATATATCATTTATTTATCCAATATTTGTCCCCTGCATATTTTATCATGTTTAGGTGTGCTTAAAATGACTATTGCGAGATTTTTGCTCAGAAAAACTAAATATAGCTGAATATAGTCTCACCTGACAGCAAAAATATCACTGATTACACCAACATTAAAAATACTAAGATTTTATGCAGTTATAGAAAATTGGATATGAACGGAATGCTATTCAACATAAAGACATCGTAACAGCAATGCATCTTTATCGTGTCGCGACCATGCCCTAATGGCAGAATTGGAATGCTTGTATTTGGTGTCGGTTATGAATGACAAACAAGTGGCCGTGCCTTCACTGTGGTATGCAGGATAAGCGGTGGTGCCACCATAGCCTAATGCATACTTCCTGTTTAGTTCAAGAATGACAGAAGACCGAATGTTTACACAAAAACGATAAGTTCGAACTGAGGCAGTTTGCGGTGGTTCGAAGTTCTAAGAATTTTTATTGTTACTGTAGACAATTGCTGTTTACTCAAGCAATAATGGTAGGTTATCATGAAAGTGGTGAAAACACTGGAAATTCCGCAATAATCGCTTTACTATATCGAAACAAGGAACACTATTTTGCACCAAAGGGTTTCTCTTTCAGTTTCATGATATAGAACAATCTAGGTAATACTTTTGAAATTGGTGAGGCGGATTCTTCTATGTCAAACTGTTTTATTACGAATGGCCAGCAATTTTTGTGTGTCTTTCATTTGCATAATAAAAAATGGACAGAAGACAATCACAATGATCGTACTCATAATGGTTTCAGTAGGCTGTTTGAATGCACTGTTACACATTTAGCTTGTAAAGTAACAAAAATACTGTTATAGCGAAAGTTGCTAACATCGAGCTTATAGAAGGAATTTATTGAAAAGTGGGTTGAAGGTTTCAAACTCTCACAAGGCAAAAATCATTCTCATTCCAAATCACCAATAGTAATTCATAAATTTTCCTATCTAGGTACAGACCTGTGAGTTGGCAGTCAAGCACAAATCCGAAGGGCTTTGCAAGTACGTTGATTAATGTTTAACTTATCACCACAAAAGCAAGGGATGAATGGAGAGAAGTGATCACATTTTTTATTATGGCAAATGGCCTTTTAGTTTTAAGCTGGTTTGTAAACTTCGTTGTGATTATGCAGCACTGGTTATTGCAAAAATCCTTCGATTAATATTTTATAGGTGAATAGCTATTAAGATAAACTTAAATATTTGGTTGAGGGAACCATGACTATGAGTATGTATTAAAGAAAGCAAATGATCACAGTATGCATTCACTTAGTATCATAGCACATACAAATCACATTACAATGGATATTTTGCGATAGTTAAGTCTTCTCATCTACCCCAAGGATTTTAATTAAAACACCTAGTAATCCAATTATGATAACGATTGCTTCCAAAATCAACTTGTAAGAAAGATGGTAAATTACTTCGAACCACCAGTGCAATCCAACCTGCCTTTTGTAATTATAACTAATTCTGGTAATAACCAAGATAGAAGCTTCTCATTTTAAACAAGACAGATGGTTAACTATACGTCTTGAATTTTTGAATTAACCACATTAATTTCTCCTGTGCTTATGAGTCTGACTTTCCCTAGCTCGATTAGGCACATAGCACTAAACACAAAAACAAATTATGACTTTTACTATCTGATCTGCTAGACCTCACATTGCTGTTTCTAAATCTTTTCACATATAAACTGGTGTTGGTTGGCGTTGTTTGAGACTAACTGTAAATAGGGCAGTGTGGCATGTTGTGCACTAAATAGTTTTAATTCTGATTGCAGAAATAAACTTACTGGCTGTTTCTGCATAAGTAGTTATCTGCTATTTTTAGATCATGTATAATATCCTATGCAGGTGGCCTACAATCATTTATTTCTGGCACTAACTGGACGTGATGCGCACATGGATTGACACTTTGTGTCTCCCAATCACACCTTCCGCCGCAACCCGTGTTTTTAATAAGTTGAAAAGGTAGGACCATTACAGGCACCAAATCGCGACTCAGGAAACTAAATAGGTCATTCTTGCCTGGGCTAGAAACGGTTTTCTATGATAGAGTTTGGCCCAACCATACGAAAATAACACGCTGTTTAGCGACACTGTGCTACGCTCCTTCTTTGCGGCATTTTCGCATCTCCGTAGATCAAATAAGCGCGCGCCTTCTTTGTTGATGGCATGAAATGGGCGGCACCAACGTCAACCAGGTTTCTGTACGCGACTGTCTTTCGGCCGGCCCTGTTTTACTTTTCGTAAATAATGAAATGCCCGGCGATCCATTTCGCATCAAAGTGGAAAAATTCGACATTTTTAACCCCGCTTCCGGAAAGTGAACGAGTGGCGTCATTCATTGAAGCATTGAAGTTTTTGCTTAAAATTAAATAATTCCAAAAATCCCTGAACCGCGCTAACTCGATTGTTTTAGCAATGAACGTAGCTGTGTTTGTGACGTCTATTTCCCGCGCGCTTTATGCTTGGCTTAGCGGCCTCGAAAATGATATCGAGGCAGGCACGCTCGCAACACGCGTGTTGTTTACATATAGCTTGTGCATGAGGATGGGCGGTGTTGGGGAGTTCTGCGATGATAAACCTCAGAAAATTTTCAGAAATTTTTAAAGGTGCATGGAACATTTTACCAATTTAGTGGTGGCATTAGTCACCGATACGTCCGCAGTAAAGTACTAACCGTAATATGTTCACATACGTTCAGCCTTAGTGCACACAGGCGTCAAATCATTGTGAAAAATTTTGTGATATTTATTTTTATTGAGACGTTCCATGGCCTGTGGGCTTTACACGTCTGTACGTCAATGCACATGACATCAAGAGGCCCCAACTCGGAGCAGAATTTCAATCTCTGTTATTGTTTACGCTGAAAGCGTGATTGATCAGGGAGGGTGTCATGTAAGGAGGAGACATTTTCTTTGTAGTTCCGCAAAACACAAATTCCAACTTGACCCAATTTCAATTCATGGCCATTTCAATTGGAAGGCTTCTGCTACATCGGACCCCGACAACAGCCTTTGACATAACTAGTCACGAAATCAATGGTGTATATATGTGACCCGCCTTCAAGCCAAAACCAGGATTAAGTAGGAAATTCTAACAAATTGACGTTATGTGGCATATCTGAATAGATCAATTTATTACCTTAAAATATATATAATATTTGGGCTATATCTAAAGAATTAACCGATCTACAGCAATTTGAAAGATCGGGAAAACGACTTATTCCGGAAATATGCAGCTTTGAGATCAAAGCGTCCCCTTACAAAAAATATTTTTTTTTTTTATTTTTTTAATTAAAATGACCATGAATCAATCTAGAGATATCTGAACCTAAGATTATCCGGATTAAATAGCACTTAGGAATTTTTTTGTAAAAATCTCATTTTTGTCCAGTAGGTCCATTGTTCAGCTTGACATGTTGGCCGTGCTCATTACTCAAAACCAAAACTTGCGACTTAAGTCCGTATTATGCTGGAGCGGGTCGACATATTGCTGCTTATTTAGCCGCCATAGTTTCCTTATTTAGAAGCAAAGTCTTCATTGTTATCTTCTATAAACTACAGACCATCCACTGACCGCTGTGGAGGAACGATCGGCCGGGGGCCCTCGAATTTGCGCACGTCTCCACTGCGGACAGCGCTTCATACTTGAACATCCCCGCGGTTGCGTGCGCATATCCGCGACTGCGGCGTCTCACATCCGCGCGCAGCGGCTCAGGATCAACAGCAAAGACTGTGCACGGCAATCTTGTATCAATAGTCTCTTCTGGTTTTAAATGTGATTTGATATCAATTGTTAAATAAGCTGGGTGTAAAACGCGTTATTTCAAGTCCAGTTAATTCTGATAGTTGCTTTTCAGTGTAATAGATATTTATGACTGAAGTTCTGCCATATTTTAGCTTAATCCACTAACAATCAACGTGGAGATCTATCGGTTACTAATCGAAACAATAAAGACGTGTAAATTTTTGACTGTGCTGCAATATTGCAAATATTTTACTGCCATTAATCATAGGCCATACAGTAATTATAATGGGCAACCCCAGGATCAGGTTGTGAACAAACTGCAGTAATTATCCTGGTTCCTCGGCTGTACGGAAAATCCTGCATGTATTGTCTATCACTCGTATGGCTGGCAGAGTTAATAGTTTATCTTAATTATATTATACAAAGAGATGAAATTATTTTGATGTTATTGGCAATGATAGACCAAATTATGAATTATCGTTACATTGTGTAATTCATCGGGTTACGCATGGACTGTGTGTGTATGTCTTACTGGGCCATGGTGATGTAGCTTTAACTGAATGCAGGACACTATTTGTGGATAGTGGATAGAGTGTGTTCACGTTGCAACAAGGAAAATGCCAGATTGACAAATGAGTCATCTTGCAAGTATTTTGGCATATTTGCAGTCTGGTTACATCCATTATCCAGGTGCGATTGGTACAAATTTGTATAAAGCCACTTGCCATTCATTAAAAGAAAACAAATCCATTTATATAAGTACACAGTTGGCCAAATATTGTGTTTCGCCAGCATTATAATGCCTGCGTCATGTGAGTGACTTGCCAACGTTATTGATAGCTTGTTGATAGAGTTTGCATGCTCTCAGGTTTTTGCTGCACCATTTGTCACTGTTGGCATCTAGGCTAACCGCTCTCGTATAGATTGTGCAGAGCTCTGTGATTGGTGCTCTTCCTACGGCCATATAGTGTGGCGATTATTATTTTATAAAAAGGGATTTGGTTGGTTTGGCAATATGTTTTGCAAAGGTGTATTGAAATTTTATAATCTGTTAAAACTGTTTAACCCCAGAGGTTTTTTACCAGTGATGAGTTCAAATCGTGCTGCTGCCTAACGCACTGTCCTTTCTTTTGATTATTCTTTGTGTTTAGCCAAATTTTATATTTGCCTTGTGAAGGTCACTACCACAACAAGGTATTTTAAAACGTATGTCGTGTATGAGTCAAGCTTGAGATAACCATTCCTAATATAAAGCAAAGCGCGGCTATATTGACTTCGATATTGAATCTGCTATTGATTATGTATTGAATACCAATATAGGCTCTTTAATTAAAGCAGGAGTAAGATAAATTAGGATCCTATCATTTGATCTACTCCTTAATTAAAGTGAGTAGATATAAGTGAACAATAAATATTACAGAATAATATTGTTTTGTGGTACATATTTCTCTGCACATTGTTCTTCACCGCTAGGCATTGATTGATTGTTTATGTTTATTGTTGATTGATTTTGCTTATATTTTCTCACTACCCTGTCAGATAGAATAGTTAGGAAATAATAGCACTTTCACTGACCGGTCGAATTTTAGACATAATTATTAATAACGTGATCGGTATCATGGGTCCAAAAATATCTTGCCAACACGAACAATTGCGGAGTAAAAATCTCAGCCACCACAAACAGATTGTGAGCCAGAAATTTCGTAGCCTCAAACTGTTGAGGAAAAGCAATGTACTATTTGTAAGCATAATAATATTTAAAATCAAATCATTACAATCCTTAGCAAGGAAAATAAATATAATTTATTAATAAATAAGGTGTTATGATTTTATGATTTTATAATATGGTACGTACACACATATATAAGATTAATAATCTATTATATAATTACGTGATTAATAATTTTAATTCTAGCTGCTGTACTTAGATCATAGATATATACAACACATATGTTGTATATATCTATCTTAGTATAGCCCGAAATGAACATAACCATAAATAAGGAACATTCCGAATTAAAATAAATTAAAAATATCAAACGTAAAATTAGTACTGGTACCATCCCTCTCACAAGCTCGATATAGGGCTATATCGAGCTTGCCGAGAAGGATGGTACTGGTCTAACGAATAAATAACCTGCATCGGGGTCTTCTCGGCTTAATCTAGAGCGATACTTCCGATACCTACTCGCAATTGTGGTGCCACCTTGCAGATGAAAGGTGAAATAAACCAAATTTCGGCTTTGTTAGTTTGTTTTCTCCGGCGAAAGCGTAAAATACCACAACAAAAGTGATTAAAAAACCATTATCGCTTGTAGCAAAATAGCTATTGAGACGAAATTAGGGTAGGCAAAAAGCATAAAAAACACCATAGAGGCGAGAAA